AATTGTTTTGGAAGAAGTAGAAACAATTAGAAAAGAAAATCAAGTTCGGTGTATATAAACTATATACAGCAAAACTAGTATACAATCAAATGTTCTATAATCGATGAATAAGTGGGGAATAGAGAAAGAGCGGAAAAGAGGAATGACAGAGGAATAGTCGGGGTATAGAGAAATAGCGATCAACTGACCGGAATATATTTTGAAACGTTCCCTAAATAGCTATATCAATAATCAACACTGTACATGGTTATTATAGATGCATATCGTCACTTATTCAAGTTGGTATGAGAATATTGTTGAAGCTATGTCGGTGACACGAGGATTAGCTGTATTGGGAGTATTCTTTAAAGTAAGTAGATTGATAAATAAATAATAATCCGTTTAACACTTTAAATCTATCTATAGTTATCTGATAAATCTAATGAACAATTACAACCTCTGATTGATTCATTGCAAAAAGTAAGAGTGTACAATACAAAAGCGCCTGTACACAATTTTAGTTTACCACGATTAATTCCACAATCAAAAATGTCAAAATATTTTCGTTATGATGGTTCACTAACAACCCCACCCTGTTACGAGTCGGTAATCTGGACAGTTCTCTTGGAGCCATTAAATATTTCGTTTGCGCAACTGAAAGAATTTCGCCACCTACGCGGCTCAAGTAGAGGTGAATCACTTGTCAATACCTATCGAACAATACAACCATTAGGTACGCGAAAGTTATTTCGAAATTATGCCCCAACAGCCTCACAATCGTATAAAAAAGGTGAACAATTCTTAACTGTATCAAACTTTGCATTGGACCGACAACAGCAACAATGTTCTTATCGAACAATGTTTTTATTCTTTGGTGTTTCAATTGTTTTGCGAATTCGTTTATAATTTAAACACTAATTCTTGTATTCGAGCTTATTGTCTGAAGAAAGATTGATTCTAATTAGTCTGAGCTTATTTTACGCTTTTTTTTTATAATAATACATAATAAACCAAAAACTTCTCTTTCGTACACATTATGATGCTCACTTACACTAATAAATAATGCGTACGCATTTATTGGATAAGTGCGATATATGTAACTCTGTGACACTAGGTCTGGTAGCGACACAATTTTCATTAGATATACGACACATTCTTTGCAGAATATATCACATTCTGATAAACTTATATCAAAGTTTGACAGTTCAAATTTTTGATCCATGTTTTGATTTTTTGTTGAAAAATCAACATTGATTAAGAGATGAAAACAAATTTGTTTTTTTTTCGTTTTTTTGTTTGTATATCTAATTCTTCAATTTTATGATGTTGATACGTACGCTCATCACGTAACAATTCAATAAAATGGTATATATAAGGATGTACAGGTAAGTTATTCTCAAGACGATTATTATAGCCCTTAACATAATTGTTTATCTACATGGGTTTGTAGTAAATAATCAATTAAATTTATTAGCATTGAAAATATCTGCTGTATTTTAATATATAATATCCGTCTATATGCTATCAACAATTTCAGATGGTATTAACGCTAGTCCAACAGCACCGAGAAACCAATGATCCGCCTTTTTACGTTCTACACTGATATATTGCTATTACTTTCATTCGTCAGAAGAAAATATCGACTCATGCTAAGTTGTTGAATTTTTGTCCATAACGATTGTGCATAATGAAAAAAGCATCTGTTAATTGTAATATTCTTAAACACATTGCTGAATGTATTAATAACTGCATTTTCGAAGTCACACGTTGAGCATCGTGCGTTCATAACAAGATTAAAATTTTTCTTCTAAAGTTCTGCAATTAAATGATCAAAGATTTAGTATATATAATTTCATTTTTCTTCACTGTTAAACAATATACGCATGCAATCATATATTCGTTATATGATTGCCGTGTATCCAAATAGAATGTACAACTGGCCAAACGATAATGGGCCAACACCAGAATGCCAAAGTGAACGTGATGATGAAAAAACGAATACTCCATTCTGACCCAGAAATTATTAATCGATCACTATCATGTAGTCAATTTAAAACTTTCTAGAAAGAATTGTTAAAGAGGAGTCGAAATAGGAAAAAGTATGAAAAGAGAACAGAGTTTGGACTGAATGGAGAATGGAGTTTAGAGAACGGTTTCGAATCTTTTTGTAGAAGACTGAAAAGAGAACGGTATTAAACGGTACTGATATTTTTTCACTGTATTTTTTCACTGTACAGTTTCTAAAGTAGAATTTTTCATACACACGCTTCTTCATATTTACACATCGATACGTAAACAGTAAAAGAAGCATATTCTAAACAAAATGATGCTCAGACAATGGCTACCACTGCGAATTTGTAATACGGAAACTGAACTTAATGAATTAATATCAGAAAATGAAGCATCAAGATTTCGAAGTGAATCAAATACCAATGGTAACAAATATACATATCGGTGTGCTTCATACAAGAAATTTTCATCATGTGATATTCAGCTGCAAGCTATACAAAAGAGCAATGAATAGGGGTATGACAGTTCCATATCAACTCCTATCATAGGAACTGTTGAACAACTCTTTTGAAAGGAGCTGATATGTTCGAGCAGCTCACTAGTCGTCTAGAATGGCGCAAATGTATGACCGTTCTTCTCCAGTGCTTCGAGTTGAGCAAGCTGTTACTTCAGCGTGAAAGCTTTAGCAGTAGTCGTTGAAAAATTTCAAAAAATTTCAAAAGAGCTGTTCAAACGTATCAGCTCCTTTCAAAAAGCTGTTCAAACATATCAGCTCCTTTCAAAAGAACTGTTCAACAGTTCTTTCGCTCAAATGAGCTGAACTTATGAGCTGGAACTGTTACAGGTCTAGCAATGAAGATGAATGATTTCGAGTGTTAAGATCTGGTGAACACAATCATACTGAAAGAGCGCTTATATCAAGACCACCTTCTCCTGTTCGAGAAGATATGATTACATATGTGGCCGCCGGTATCAGAAACACAAATCCGTCGAGCGGTATCAATCACTCATTCTGGAACAGCTCAACCAAAAAAATCTAGTCTTGCTCTACTTTTTTGAAATATCATATCTATTTGCATTTATTTTGTATAATATTTTTTTGCAGGTAATGCAAGATATATATAGATAATAATTCACTATTCGAACGTATGACCGTTCCCTTTTCAGTCTTTTGAACTCAGAATTCTGAACCGTTCTCTTTTCAGCACTAATTCCGTTCTCTAAAATATCCTTGTCCGTCGAAATACTTACATGTTTCATGAACTAATAAACATTCACCATCCCTCTTGTCTAATTTTCATGCTCCAGTTATAGAACCGTATGTGAATCTTCCAGAAAACGGCTTTCAGGTATGAGTAATATTGGATTCATAGATTAGAACGGTATTATAGTTCGAACATTTGGGACACTATCGGCTCTAAATCAACTTCCTAGACCAAGATATAAATATCACAAAAGACGGGTATCGATTTCTGCTAGAAAATGGCTCAATATGATTTTGAGTGAAATGATCGCCTCCTATTTTACTTCCAGATACTTCTGACTTTCTAACATTGCTCATGAACTTCTTGAAAAAATTATTTCTAACCAGTTTTCGTCACCAGTTCAAGGAAGGTCATTCACTTTGTTTCTCAAATTTTCCGTACAACTTGGAAGACTCTGACCAAAGTACATACATAGAAAGATAGAGAATTTTCCGTGCTTCAAAACGAGCTATTGACAAACTTCTCAAACGTATGCGCACATAGAACAGTTGTCAAAGTACTAGATTTTCCCCCACCCTAACGCTTTAAAGGAATACTTCTTTGATGCTTCTACTCAGATCCGAAATGTTTTATGCATAGAAAGATAGAGAATCCTTCAGGTTTCAAAATGAGTTATAAATCAGTCGTTCAAAAATATTCACAGATGGATCAATAGTCGAAATACTTGGCCAGTATAATGATTTTCACCTATCTTAGTGCTTTAAAGGAATATTTCTTGAACTCATCTACTCAGATCCAGAATGTTTTATATATAGAAAGATAGAGAATTTTCTGGGCTTCTGGACCAAAATATTTTGTTTTAAAACTTTGCCCTCGTGGATTTATTGGCTAAGTACTGGATAAAAATAATCACAGTTTCTTTCACAAATAGAAATTAGGAATAGTTTTATTTAGAAAAATGCAGAATTGAAAGAGCTACAATATAAGCTATAGTAAGTCAGAAGTATCATAGAAGTAAAATAGAAGGCATTTGCCATCATTTTCACTCAAAACCATATTAGGTTATTTTCTAGTAGAAACCGATACACGTCCTTTGACTTTTATACAAGTATCGTTTTAGGCTATTTTTAGGACTTTTTAGGAAAAGCTCTATAACTTTTTAACGAAGTAAGTCTGAATGAAAAAAATTTGGCAATCTTCCTAATTATGTTAGAGCTACCCACTACGAAAGTTTAAGCATGAAACTCAAACATCGATTGAGCAACTTTCGCCGTTTCACTCGTGCAGTGACTCTTAAGGCTAAAACAATTTTTCATTTTCTACAGTAGAGTTGTTTTTATATTAGAGTTACTGCAAAACACGTCGGTGATTGTGTTTTCTTATAGAAAAAGAAAAGACAGAATATACAGAACAAAAAACTAGGGGTCCTACAAAATCCTACATAAAACCTTACCATAGGATTTTATAATAAATGCATAAGATTTCTATTATAGGAATCCTATAGGATTTTGTTTCCGTCCTATATCAAGATCCATACGAAATAGGAGGATTTCGTAGAACCTTCCAATAGGACTTCTAGGAAATCCTATTATACTACTAAAATATTATTATACGATACTATAGGATCTTACAGGATCGCAGTAGGATTGCTTGACCTAGGTAGCATCAATTTTGCCAAATGATGGAACTATTGGTGTCTGTAGCTAGACCAGAATTTTCCACTCTAGTTTTAACCAGTTCTTTAGAATAAACTTTTGAAATCGAATTTTTCGGATTGTTTCTCGGTCAATCGGATTGTTTCTTCTCTTGCTCTTTTCTTTATTTGGTCAACAACATCATCAATAATAACTTTATTTTATATCTGGGCTATATGTATGACTTGTTGCTATCCCTAACGCTTGCAGACGTACGCAACCCATAGACAATATTGAATACATATTGTACACGCAGACAAACTAACGGGGACTAATCTGAGCGAGTAAGTGTACAGACTCGAGGCATAGGTTTCAGACAGTCCCACCTTAGTCCTTCACGTTTGAACGGAGGAGTTACACTTTAGACAGGAGGTCTGCGCTGAAAAGCTTTTTATTATATTGCACTGTAAAAAATAAAGTGTGCCCGTAGATATGTAAAAGTTCAAAGTGAAAACTACGAATCAAACTGGTGTGTTTTTTTTCTAGGTGTGTAAAAGTTTTTTTGTATATTCGCAGGTGTGTAAATTTTGCCAGTATGTTTCTGGTACATCATACTGTGCATTTCTAGATGTGCAAGTTCAGTATTTTGGACACACTTTACTTTCTACAGTGTAATAACCTTTATAATTTAATATTGACTGACCACGTTTAGTGAGAGTGAAGTGTAACATTTTTTGGATAACTTTTGTAGCATCTTACTTGGATTTATATAGATCCGTAGATTTATATAGGTTACTGAGCGTTTCTTTTTACTCATCCTAGATGGTTCTAAATTGTTCAGTTTCAATATAGATAAAGAAAAACACCGATATTGTGCTGTCTTGATTGACCTTGTTTCTGTAGACTGTTGCTGCTGTTCTTCTTTTAATAATTAATTAATTTAATTTAACCTATGTGTGCATATGAGGGACGAATCGATAGATAAGCAATGTCATTTTTACAGTCTAATGCTGTCGCCATTGTTGACATCGCTTTTACAATGGCCTCCACAGCAACA